CGAATACAGCACTCCTGTTTCCTGCTTGGCCAAAGATTCACTTAACATTTGTTTCTAGCGCTAAGGGGGGAAAGGATGTAGCAAAAGCACTGCAGCAGAGGAACTATTTACCCCCTGTGGCACTATTTTACTTTGAAAGACACCCCTCAAAAAAACAAAACAAAACAAAACAAAAAACAAATATTTCAGTTTCAGACATTTTTAATCCTATTCCAACTTCTGACCCAAATAAATTGAGACAGCACAAATGTATTCAAAAATATGTCTAGACAAGTCATTTTAAAAAAATTTCACAAAAATCTTACTAGGATTTGCTTCCTGTCACACTGATGTTCTGCTCCCTTTTGGCCTGTCACAACGGCTATGTTATATTGCAAATATTTTGTGTTCATTGCATTATGTATGGAATATTCTGGTCTCTTGTATTTTGAAAGTATTTTCCAAACACATAGAAGCTAAATGTCATCCTTGTCTTGCTCGCACATAACATTCCTTCTTGCATACGCTGACCTCTTCGTAGGGTTTGTTTTTTTTTAATGACAGAAAAATCTCAACAAACTTCTCTGGCATGATTTGCAAGCTCAAATCTAATTATCAACATATACTGTGGTCTTAGCACAATCAAAACCCAAATATCACCTGCGCTATTCCTGCTGCTGTTCTAATTTTTAGACACATACAGAAAAACATGTGTGAACCAAGTGTGACTTACTAAAGTAGAATGAAGCAATCTACACAAATATCTCAAATAAGCAGTACAGTTTATCAGAGATTTCCCTGCTTCCCTTGGGCCTTTTCATGCATGGTTCTTTTCTCTATCATCCCTATCGCCATGCTTGTTGTAGTTAATCACAGAAATAAAGTCCAAATATTCAGGACTAAGTGAATACACCTCCTCTATCACTTTAAACAGTGATCAAATAAGAATAAGAGAAGGGAGAGGAAGAGGGAGCAACATGTTTCTGCCTGAATAAGAGAAGGAAGAGGAAGAGGGAGCAACATGTTTCTGCCCCTGTCCGGGTGCAACGGCTACAATTAAGGCAGTAGCGATATGAGAGTTGGAAACTGGGACTGGCTAGGGTGTTCTGGGACTAGCATTCCAAAATAGTAGGTTTTTCTTCATATGAGCAGTACTAAAGGAGGAGGAACGAATGGTACAGGTATGAGGATGGAGTTTCCATTGCAACTGCTGAAAAGCCCAGGAAGATACAATAATGGCAATTCTCCAAAGTTGTCTTCATGGCTGTCCTAGATCCTCTTATACATATAGAATATTCAGAATCCGTACCTCTCTGCTTTCCTACAACTTTCTTTTTAAAGGTATACTTGATGCTTTATTATTTTGCTGTAACGTATTTATCATAATCATCTTAGAACTGCAGAGCTGGAAGGAATCCTATGGATGGATTCTAGCCCCTATCAAGGAAGTACATACTGTATCACTCATGTTAGGTCCATTCCCCTTCCTTCCCCATCTCACTAATGGATCTAACTTACTTTCTGTTCCTTGCCATTTTGTGTGTGTGGTTCAGTTTTCTACACTATTAAATACTTAATGGATTCCTAAAATTGATCATCCTCCTGGTTCGTATTTAGCTTTTCTTTCTGATTTGGAATACCAGCTTATCCTTTCCTTGTCTGTTTTTCTCTTCATATTTACTCCTAGGGATGCTAATAACCATGCTGACTCACTTTCAGAGACTTCAGCACACATTCTGCTTTCCTGCCCTGTAACTGCTGGCTCTAGGCCCTTCTTCCCATTGTCCAACACACTGTAACAATCACAACTTAAACCCTTAAACTGTCTCTTTTGTTCTTTGCTCATCTTAATTTCCAGTATGATTTTTCCCCTCCTCTATAATTTCCCGTACTTTTCTAAGATCTTCACATGTTACACCTGTTTGGAGGCTTTTTCCCCTCCTCTATAATTTCCCGTACTATTCTAAGATCTTCACATGTTGCACCTTGTTGCTTGTTTGATGTCCTGTTTGGAGGCTGCTGCACACACTGTTGTGCCCATACTCTTCTTTCTTTGGTTGGCCGCTGTGTGACCAGAATGCTGGGTTAGATGGACCTTTAATCTGATCCACTTTGCTTTTACCATGCAATTGAGAGGGACTGCACAGAAAGCACTAGCAACTGGCAAGGTTATACAGTGGTGCCCCGCATAGCGATGATAATCCGTGCAGCACAAATCGTCGCTATATGGATTCGTCACTATGCGAAAAAAAGCTCATAGGAATGCATTAAAACCTGTTTAATGTGTTCCTATGGGCAAAAAACTCACCTTTAAGTGAAAATCCTCCATACGGCCGCCATTTTTGCTGCCCAGTAAGCGAGGAATTGGCGCGAAAACACAGCAGGAGAATCAAGACAAGGCCATTTTTTTTACCCAGCGGCCATTTTGGAACCGCCGATCAGCTGTTGGGAAATCATCGCTATGCGAAAATCGGTAAGCGAAACAGGTTACCGATCATTGCAAAGCGATATTTTCCCATTAAAAACATCGCAATGCGATCGCAAAAACAAGTGCAAAAAATCGTCGCTATGCGTCGTCGTCGTTAAACGGGGCACCCGTTAAGTGAGGCACCACTGTATAAGACTGTGTGGCTCCAGCAAAACTGGCAGCAGGCAATTCAAGGGGAGAATCAGGACAAGAGGGAATCAAACCTTCTCCAAGCAGCCCAGTTTGTTGTTGAGGGCAACTGACCGGATGAGGGGTTGATCCTGTGTGACTCTTTAAAGAAAAGTATGGTGGTTGATTTCTGGGCAAGTGAAATTTCTACAACATCACAGTGCACGGGTGACTGCAATGTGGGTTTTTACCACACATTCTGTCTATTCAAAGACTAGTAAATTTTAAAATCAATTGTTCTTAATCTTTTAGAGGCCCAGTTTGTTGTTGAGGGCAACTGACCGGATGAGGGGTTGATCCTGTGTGACTCTTTAAAGAAAAGTATTTGATTTCATTTCTGGGCAAGTGAAATTTCTACAACATCACAGTGCACGGGTGACTGCAATGTGGGTTTTTATCACATACAGTACTTCTTCTGTCTATTCAAAAACTAGTAAATCTTAAAATCAATTGTTTTTAATCTTTTAGAGAGAGAGTATTTATATGTGTTTGTGTGAACATTGATAGATGGATAGATAGAATTGTTTAGTCTCAATGCATCAATGAAGCTGAAATGGAGAAACAAAACCCTCGCACACAATAATTAGCACTACAGTTTAAAGCAGCACAAGTACTACAGACAGGTAAGCTCTTGAGATAACAATATTGTCACAGTTACCCTACTCCATGTCTCTACAACAATCAATGTCAAAAGACTCTATTTCTCACAGAATTCCCGTCTGTTTTTGCACAGGTATTCAGAAAGGAAGGTGCATGGACTTGCAGTGTGAGTTTTAAGTCCATAGGAACGTATTAAATCAGTTTTAATACGTTCCTATGGGCTTTTTTATTTCACTTAACAATGGATTCGCTGAGCGAGGGTTAATCCGAAACGGATTAACCTCGCTAAGCGAGGCACCACTGTATTTATATGTGTATGTGTGAACATTGATAGATGGATAGACAGAATTGTTTAGTCTTAATGCATCAATGAAGCTGAAATGGAGAAATAAAACCCTCGCACACAATTCAGAAAATAATTAGCACAACAGCTTAAAGCAGCACAAGTACTACGGACAGGTAAGCTCTTGAGATAACAATATTGTCACAGTTACCCTACTCCATGTCTCTACAACAATCAATGTCAAAAGACTGTTTCTCACAGAATTCCTGTCTGCTTTTACACAGGTATTCAGAAAGGAAGGTGCATGGACTTGCAGTTTGGTGCATGGGTGAATTCTGGATAAGTGTGGAGAGGCTGTTCTGTTATGAACAGGAGAATACCTAATTGTCACATTTCCAGCGTTAAGTGAAGACGAAAGTCCAATAAGTCAGTCCAAAGTCAGAAGTCCAGGAGATACAAAACAGATGCCAAATTGCCAAAGCCAAAACACAAACCGTAGTCAAAAGTCACAGTCCAAAGCCAAGGGTCAAGAAAGCAAGGTCCAAGATAAGCAGGAACGTGGGTGTGAGCCAGAGAATTGACTTCTTGCTCCCACAGGCTTCCAAGCCTCTGGGTACAGATTAATATACTGTAGCAGCAACAGTCATCTAATTCCTAGAAAACACTCAGTCCTGCTAAAACTCAGGGCTAGTCAACCTGATGTTCCTATGGGAAGCATTCATGTGAGCCTCTGACCTTTGTGTTATGAGTCCCTGCCAAAGCTTGTCCATCACTCTGGCTAGTGGGGGAGGAGAATTTGGCAGTGATTCAGCTGTCTGTGATTCTAATTGCCCAGCATTTTCCTCAGCTGTAATTAACCCCTCAGATTCCAGATCTTCTTCAGCTGAACTCATGACACTAATGCCTTGTGTACTGTGATGTTTGAGGGCTAACCTATCACTAGCTGCCATGCTCCACCCAGCACATTACTCCCCACGATACCAACCTCGATGGGCACCAACCAATCTATCTCTCTTATTTCTTTCCCAGGAAGTAAAACACGGAAAAGATGAAGTAATTACTTATTACTGAGTACTTCACCAATAATGATGAAAAATGAAAGCCATCTTGGGTGGAGAAAGGTGGGGTAAAAATATTCAAAAAGAAGGAATGAATGAATTAAGGAACGAAGGAAGGAAGCTGTTTGCACATCTCTCTCAGTGATGGAAAACAGCATAACAAAAGGGAAAAGTGCAAAGGTTGTCTTGGACTATATCCATAATTAACCCAGTCTTCCCCATTCTTACTGGCAACAGATCTTCAAAAATCTCTAACATAGGTGGTTTGCTCTTCTGCTACTCAAGAAATAATGAATAATGTGTGCTTTGTGATAAGTACACATAATAAATTAGGCTGAATTGAAAAGTGCACTTATGTAACTGAAGAGAAAAATACATTCCTCAGAGGGGGTTTAATAAAGTTGGCAGAGGCATACCAAAATACCTTTTGCATTCAAAATTTCTTCCTTTATCTTCATCACAGTTTCTTGGCCTTCTTTTTCATTACACCCAGCTGTCATAAAATCAAAGTAATAGAGAAAAATAATTAATTATGAATCACTGTTTATATATCAGACTATCATGTGCCATTTAACCATGCAAACAATCTATAGGCAATTAATATGTTAAATATTTGGCAAACCAAGCAGGACTGTTGAGGAAGAGCAGATAAAAGGGTGAGTATTTACAATAAATATAATAAAAACTGGCTAGTAGTTTATTGGTGTTCACCTAAGTTTTGGGTAACTTGCTGTAGCTAATTTACAGACAGATTACTTCACTGATATACTATTAAAACATCTGCTGGAAACATTGCAGTATCAGAATAAAACGTTGAGCACACTTCTACCCAGTTCTCCAGCTTAATCTCCATGCCTTTTTTTTAAGCTGGGAAGGCAGGAGAGAAGGACAAAGCAGTGATGCAACTGGATATCTGGAGCAAAGCCCAATTTCATGCTCATCAAGCAAAGAGTTTATTTTTATAAAAGCCCAAGAAAGAGCTGCACTACTTCACCATTTATTAATTCACATAAGACCATATCAGATGTCTAACATGATGAATTGAAGCTTCAGCTTTATTTTATGAATTAGCGTATTAGTTACTCTGCAATTTAATGAAAGGGGAGTTGCACTTTACTTTTGCTAAACCAGAAAAAAAAACAACCAAATATTGCTACACTTTGAAGATTTGACTGATTTATTTAGCAGGAGCTTTCATACATGATGACCCACTTCTTCAGATACAGTGTGATGTGACTGATGTGCCTGCTTCTGTTTCACTTCCATGGACTAACTCAACGAACGCTCTGAAACCACTTTTGTATTATTATGTCTTCAAGTATCTATTCTTCCCCAGTTCATATGTATAAACCTACAGAATGCCACTTGTAGCTCTTTACAAGTTTTTTGCTGGTGGTTCCCATCATTGCTCACAACTGGCCCTCCAGAAAATTATAACTAGTTGATTGGCTACTATTTTCTTTTCTTTTCTTTTCTTTTTATGCATTTACCCTGCAGTCATATGCAAACATTTTAGAAAGATAATTCCATATGATTTTTAAAACCATGGCCATGGAAATAGGTATGAACTCCTCATGTAAACATTGGCCTGTAATTCAATGTTCACCAGATCAGCTTTTCAAGTATATGCACATTGACATGCTGATTCTCCTTCCTTTAGCCATGGAAAAAAGAGAGAAAGAGGTTAGTGGGGGGGGGGACCAAAAAAAAAAACAAAACCCTAACATGATTTGTTTTTCTTATAGAAATCATCTGCAACTGCACAGCACAAACATCCAGTTTGATCCTAATCTCTAGAAATAGATGCAGTGTCGACAAACGAACCCTCCAGTAAAACTGACAAGTTCATAGAGCTCTGTTTAAAAGAAGCTATAGGAATGAGATCAAATCTCCTCAGTTTTTCAGTCTAAGTGATATTCTACACCAAGGAATTAATGTCTATTTTGTCATAGTACTAGATTCACAGTACTAGATACAGCAATAAAAGGAGAAAAAACCCTTTATGACAATCCTTATTAAACGTTCATCTGGTCCTCCTACTCCTTTTCTATCAGCAGCTATAGAGCAAGAATACTAATTACAACCTCCAGTTGTTTGCTTTAACTCTTGATAATATTAATTTTATTACATGCTGCTATTCTTCCAAAGGAGGGTCTACTAGCAGCTCACAATTCATTTAAACAATATTAAAAGCATAGTTAAAATTACTATGCAATATAATATTTAAGACCAATCAAACAGATGATCATATTTTGAAACCCTTAAAAGGATATAGACTGCAGATCAAAAGGGAGAAAATGTGTATACAGCATTCTGTAACAGCATTTTGGTGTCCAAATCAAGTAAAAATAAATAATCATGTGCCATCAAGTCCATTCTGACTTATGCTGACCCTTTTCAGGGTTTTCTAGGTAGAGAATACTCAGAAGCGATTTATCGTTTCCCTTCCTCCGGGGGCATGGAGGAAGGCCACACAGGCTGGCTCTTCTCCCTGACAGCACAGGGAGGAACTGAATGTCCAGCCTCTGGCTAGGCAGACAGATATCTATGGTAATTCACTGAGCTGTGTTACCAGCTAAGTGAACTAAAATCCTGCCTTAAAACGTTCCTGCCTGCTAGTGAGAGCAGTCACTGAAAAGACCCTCTCTTGCACCATGACCAAACAAGACTATGAAAGTGGGGCCGCCAAGCCGCACACTTCAAGGAAAGACAAAGTAAGGGACTGCTTATCAAGCATGCACATTTGGGCTTGGAGGGAAAGTTTGTATTACTCCCCTTCATTTGTAATCTGATTGTGGAACTGTTTTGCTTCAGTTGTCTGGTACAGAAGTTATGCTACCCACACCTTAACCATGGTTAAGGGATCAGGAATACATCATAAACTCAGATGCCTCTTTCCTTCCTTCCTCTGAAGTGAATTCTGCCTTCAATGTTTGCCTCAACCCTTAGTCATCATGATTTTTTATGCCAGCATGGATACCAAATACATAAGGGTCCCCTAATCAGGAGAAAAACAGCCTATACAAACAAATTAATGAATTAATTAATGAAATGCTAGCTAGTGCTCCCCTCTTATCCAAAAAACAACAACGTGGGTTTGCAAAGTTTCATTCAGAGCTGTAGTGGGCCTAGTGCAGTCCTATGGATGTTCCTGAAATCATATTCCCATCAGCTTTAGCCAGCTTGGCTAGTGTGAAGAGTTGTGGCTCAACAATGGGAGGGATGCTGGGAGTTAAATTCTGGAGGGCTACAATCCCTTCCACCCTCTAGTTTAGCACGTTAGTGCTAATTACAACTAGGACCAATGCATATGTAGCACAAACCATAGCTAAGGTGAACAACAACCAATGGTGAAGATTTCATGCCAGAGAAGGGAAAAGAAGCCTGCTTCTGATCCCTTGATTAAAATGAAGAGATTGGCAATGTTACACTTACTACACTGGCCCAGTACAGCAGAATGTTGCCACATGGTGTGGAGGGTGGAGGACACTGTAGCTCATAGGTTGGGGAAAAGGGATAAATTACCCCAAATAGGGTAAAAGTGAAAATCCTGGGGGTAATGAGCAGAGTGTTGCACCCCTACCTCCATCCCACCCCCACCCTCTGCAGCCAAATCACTAATTGTAAGCCACCTCTCCCTGTTACTTCCTGGTTGCAGCAGGCACTTGTAAATCCTCTCTTAGTTCAGAGATTGGAGATAAGCTCCTTGATTGGTTGCAGCTGTGGATTAGCCCCAGGCAATCAGTCAATCAATCCGGGGCTTCTGAATGACTGCTTCCTCTGGAAATGACTGCAAACAAGCAGCAGGAGGGAAAGGCTCAAGGAGCAAGCAAGGGAAGGAGAGCGAGGACTTCATCAAGCTTAAATGTATGTAATTGTAGAAAATGGAGGGAGAGAGGAAATGGAGGGAGGGTGGGTGGATGGATGTTTGTGTGTGTGAGAGAGGGGGGAGAGAGAGAGAGAGAGAGAGACAGTGAGTGAGAGAGACTGACTCAAAACTATGAAAAAGAACAGGCAAGAAAAAGAGAAACCTTGAATTAAGGTGGGGGGAAGGTGGCTTTTTAAGGTGCTGTCTAGGTTTATCATTGCTTTCCTTCCAAGAAGCAGGTATCTTTGAATTTCGTGGCTAGCAAAAATTTAATGCAACTTGCTAGGCATGTTGGACACCTTACTACTCCCTATACCACACCATGGCTGGAGTGCAATGTGTTCCAGCAAAAATAGTGCAGATATTTATCAAATTTGGTGCATCCTGCTAGTTGGGGGGGGGTAAAAGGTAAAAAAGTTCCGACCCCTGCTGTAGCTGCAGAAAACATGCTCCAAACACCCTTTGGCATACGTAACTGATCCCAACTAGTCCTTTGTGTCCTGAACCAAATGTTGTTTTTGAGAGTGTAGTGCATAAACCATGTCCCTACCAAAAAATGAAAATGACAGTGAATCACACAGACGGGCCAGAGGGCAAGTATCTGTGTTTTTTGTGTTAATCAAGTTGACCTATTACAATCTGAACCCACAGTCCAGGTTCCCAATTCATCAGCAATCACAGAAGACAGAAACTAGATCCAAATGTTGTGCAAGTACTTTGAGCTGCAAAAACTGTTACATATTACTGGAAACTATCATATAGGTCAAGATAAAGAATTTTTCAGCAATGTAACTGAAGCAGCCAAAACAACAAGTCTGGTGCAATCCTAAAAAATAGCACATTTCATTTGGCATATTTTTTGTCAATACATCTAAAAAACTGGGCCATGAAAGCTTGTACCAAATAAAATGTGTTAGTTATTAAAGAACCAGAAGACTCCTTGCTGTTTAAGATAAAAATAATAATGTTGTGAAAGAAATAAAGTGGCAAGAGCAACGTCTGGCTGAAGTGATCTTTACAATTCAATTCTGAAGTTCCTGGAAGTCCTACCAGCACCACTTTCCTTTAAAGTCTTTAAATTCTGTGCACTGTAGCTTCTTTCGTCTTATTTAAACTTCAGCTGTACAAAATGGTATTTCAACTGCATGGCCTCATGGTAGGAAAACCCAATCAAACAGTGTAGTTTTTCAAAGTGCACCTTCCAAGCTATTTTACTAAATGGGTTCTGTTTTTTATTAACATCCCAAGGCATTACTCTTTCTCTGAGCAAATTCTTTTGGTAGAATTAATCACTGTATTTGGTTAACCAGCGGGGGGTGGGGGTGATTGTGTAAAGTGCTAAGACGCCAAGCAGAAAATGGCAAATATTGACAACAGTTTGTTCTGTTGTTTATACAGTACAAGCAAGATGCCTATGCAATTCTTTGTAGCAGAGAGATATGATATGGACATTTGATCATAATCATACAGGTCCACCCAGTGCAAATAAAAGTACAAATTATTTCTAGTCTTGCTAGGGTACATAATAAGGAAAAGATAACAAAAGTAACATTTTATCTGACCTGCAGGCATGCTTTACAAAGGCATGCAAAGCAATATATTTCCTATCACACGAAACAGCCTGCCAAGCTTAATACTATCGGAAAGGAAAAGAAGAGGACTTTTGCTTATTCCAGTCACTGAGAAATTAACCACAACAGACATGAAGTTAGACTGGCCATTTCTTTAAAGGAAAAAAAAGCAAGCACATTTCAAGAGCCAATAATATAAGACAATTCACAATAAAGATGCAACCAAAACATTTCAATAAGTATTTTAAATTAATTATTAAATTACTACTTCAGTTCTATTTTCAGAAACCTTGTGGCACACTGATTAAACTGCAGTGCTGCAGTGAAAACTCTGCTCATGACCCGAGTTTGATCCTGGGCTCAAGGTTGACTCCACCTTCCATCCTTCTGAGGTACGTAAACTGAGTACCCAGCTTGTGGAGTGTGTGTATATAGCTTGCATACTTAAAACATAAACCACCCAGAGAGTGCTTTGAGCACTATGGGGTGGTATACAAGCAGCAGACTTTGTTTTGTCTCAACTAGTATCAGACGTATGAAGTTTTTTAACTCAAAGCAGGAAGTATATTCTTATTTCCATTTTTCTTCCATAACAATTTACCAGAAAACTAGTCACAACTGACATGGTGTCATCTCCAACTGTCCTACATAAACGTCTCACTTTTGCCCTTAGTGTCTATGCCTGCAACTACAGTACTGAAGTCTTATTCACCTCACTTAGAGAGGATTAACTACAGCGGGGTCTTGACGTGAGAACTTAATCCGTATTGGAAGGCGGTTCTCAAGTCAAAAAGTCTGTAGGTCAAGCCTCCATTGACCTACAGTGCATTGAAAACCGATTAATCCCATAACAGGCCATTTTTGTTCCATTTTGGTTTTTTTCTTGTCTGTAAGTCAAATCTCAGTCTGCAAGTCAAACCTAAATTTTGCGGCCAGAGAAGTCTGTAACTCAAAAAGTCTGTAAGTCAAGCCATCTGTAAGTCGAGGGTCCACTGTAGTTCCCTCCTTCTCTGTCATCACTTTTTCTGAAGTTTGTCTCAAGAGTACAGATGTAGATTCTACACATGAACAGGAATCCAGGTTTCCTGAGTTTTTATTCATATGTAGAACTTACACATTAGCAAGTATCTTCTCTTTTGACACATTGCTGTCCATACAGAAAAAGTGCTGTCAGAAAGAGGGAAGTCTTGTTTCTCCTGTGGAAGAAAGTTGATAACAACCAAGTTGCTAATGACAGAATCTAGCATATGACTAGCATGGTACTGATTTAGAAATCAAACATGTTAAACCAGAGGGAAACATATATTAAGTCCTGCTATGGCACAAATGCAGTATTTGATTATTACCAGAGCACCCAAATAAGAGCAAATCCTATCTACATGTATCATCCACACTTGCTGTTTGCCATAACAAACAGAAACTCTACAGATAGAAGTTGTTCCATATTTGAATAGACAACTGGGGGAAAAAACATTCAGACTATAAAGGGTGTCTGACAGAAAAATAGTTCTGTCACAAACAGGAACAAATGCACAAAAAGAAGGCATATTAGAAAACATTGTAGAATATATTTTACTCAGTCACAGTTGTGCAAAAGTTGAAAGAGCAGACTGGAAGATAAGTTTCTAATTGTGATTAGATGAAAGCATTTAAATAAAATCATGAGAGATACTTGGACCAGGGGAAAACATGTCAAGAAGTCCAACAATTTACTTGAGCACTTCATGGAAATCATATATTCTACATTATATGTGCACTCCAATGTTTTGTCAACTGGGTTCATACAGCTTCCAATTGAATGCGTTCCAATGGAAATCGCTGCCCCGTTCAGCGATGCTTCAGCATAGCGAAGGTTAATCCGGAACGGATTAACCTCGCTATGCGAGGCACCACTGTACTGTATTCTACATTATATGTATATTCCAACGTTTTGTCACCTGGGTTCATACAGCTTCCAATTTAATCTACTTCTTGAATCTTATTCTCAACTCCAGCAATGATCATGCAGAACATAAACATACAATATCTTTCAAGAAAGGAGCATGTCCATTCTAACTACCTATATTTTCAGAATCTCAGTGACCAAAAGAAGCTTGAGTATGAGCAATTTTTTTCGTTCCCAACACAGTGGCAACAAAAACTTTGCAATTGGCAAACCAAGCTATGTCTTTAAATGAAAAGGCTTATTACATGCAGAAACAGCATTTCTCTTCTCATTTCTCTCCTCTTGACACTGATCAAAAGCTGTAAATTTAATGCATCACTGGGTTTTATTCTCTTTTACTTCTGTCAAGTGCAGGGTGGATAAAAACAACAATTAAAAAAATCTAATTGATTTAAATCACAATTTAAATTAAAAAATCAATTTTTAAATCATCAAAATGACCTGATTTTTTTAAAAAATGTAAATCATGATTTAAATCAATTTTATTTAAATCAAATCCACCCTGGCCAAGTGACCCTGTGCATGTTGCTATTTCTCACGTAACATTTTTCTGAGGGTACTTCCAACGCTTGAAACACTCCTTGTAGGAAGAATGGAATAAAAATACAACTGACAAGATTAAATTCAAACACATTATTAGTAAGCAATTTGTATAAACACAACAACAATACCTATTATAATGTGCATGCCAAGTCTTGCCAAATGTTTCACAGTATGGTAACCAATTCCTTTAGCACCTCCAGTTACTATGGCGACATTCCCATTTTGAAGAGGAAAAACTGGAAAGAAAAGAGTTATTTAGGTTAAGACCCATTTTACTACAAAGGTTCAGATGTTGAATAGTAATCACAACAGAGAATACAGTTACAGCAACTTCAAACTTTATATGACAATTCTGTTCACGGTGGCCACAATGATGTTAGAACATGATGCATGGGAACCCCCGTATAAAACCAGTGTGGCCAATAACTACATAAAGGTCTGAAGTTAACTGGTACTCTCAAATGCTGAACTGATTTAGTGGACCTCCTCTAACTAGGACTAAAAATTGGATTTAGGCCAAAATATTGTGTTTATCTTAAGAGTTTATATGTCACCTTTTAAATATATTTCCAAAGCAGCTAATGTAGGAATAAAACCTATATAAAAATGCATAATGATTAGCTGTTAATTTAACTGTAAAACAAAAAGAAGAAGCTAAAATAAATGTCAAATTGTAACAGCATAGGGGAACAGAAGAATTTTCTCGTATTCTGGTGCTGAAAAGATAATAATGTTTTCATATAAAACCTCCTAGAACAGTTTCCTGTAAATAGGGCAGCACCACCAAGAAGATCTCTCCCTCTCATCACCAACAACCTTATTTTGGAGTGTGGAGAGCATCAAGAAGAGGGCCTTCAAAAATAATCTAATGATACATTCAGATTCATGCTAGAGGCTGTGATCTTTCAGGATCCAGCACTTAATCCAGCTTTAAACGTTATCACTTTAAACATAAACCCTTTGAATTATATGCGGAAATAGCTTAGGAACCAATGAAATCCTTTAGGCAATAGCTTGCCGTTTTCCGTATTAGTAGCACGATGGTGATACCTGTCTCTAACGTTCCACCAATCATTAATCACGAATCTGAATTCTAGTATCAGAAAGACAAAAAAACAACAACCCAAAAAACACCATTGTTAAATGTATATATTTACAGGTACTCTGCTATTATAGTTTATCATTTTATAGTGAGTTCCTAGGCAGAGGAAAGGGGAGTTATTAGAAGCACTGAGTGTTCAAAGTCACAAGAAACTTGTGGCCATGGTTTCCTCTTGTGCACACATGATTCTGCCTCTCTCCACACAGCTTTCCTTCTCCACCACGCAGCGACCATTTTCATTCCCTTTGGTACTGGTCATGACAAAACCTCATACATGGGGGGGAGGGGGCAGAGTAGTGCACGCACACAGAAGCAAAGTTGAGAGAAAGGGGTGGATGTTGCTTGTGGCAGTGGCTAAACTCCAGCACCGCAGCCAAGACTCTGCTCATGATTTGAGTTCAGTCCCAATGGGTTCAGTTAACCAGCTCAAAGTTGATCCAGCCTTCCAAGGCTGGTAAACTGAATACAATTTGCTGGCTGGGTGGGTAGGGGAGAATGTGTAGCCTGCATACTTAAACTGTAAACCACCCAGAGACTGCCCAAAGATGGATAATCTATGGCAGGTAGGATTTGTAAGAGATGGCAGGTCATACTGGCTTCTTGCAGGATGACATGGTCATTGAGGGACAGTAAGTTATTAATTAAGAAAATCCTGTAACAGTCTGCGCTTCATGTCGCACTGTTTTAAACCACAGTGGCTGTTTAAAACTCAGGTGACAAAACTGGATCAAGGAACACCACTAAAATCTGATTCTTTAAGAGGAGTGACACTAGCTCTCTGAACAAATGCTCTAGTTGCCTACAGAATCTCCCTCACCACTACTGCATCAATTTGTTTGTTTTCTGGCTCTCTCATACTATCCATTAACAATTTGAAAAACTGATTCAGTACTTCCAACACAACACATTCAGAAGAAATAGAAAAATAAAGGCTGGCTGTCACCAGCATAAGACATTACCTCAGCTCCTCAAACAACTTCTTGTGATTTCATGTAGATGGTGAAGAACATGGGAGAAGAGGCTGAACCTCAAAGCATAAATGCCAATGGAAACCAAGCAACTTTTACCCAACATGAAATGGCATCAGTGCTGAACCTCAAAGCATAAATGCCAATGGAAGCCAAGCAACTTTTACCAAACAATTTAGTCATGAATTATGCAAATCTTTTGGCCCTAACTAGGACTTAGTCACAGAGCTACCTAGATTGGTCTGTAAAATGTAAAATTATGAATTTTAAAGAGTATATTACCCATGAATCCGTAATTTTTTCAGAATAAATGGATGGAAGGCTGAGTCAACCTTGAGCCGGCTACCTGGGATTTGAACCCCAGGTCGTGAGCACAGTTTTAGCTGCAATACAGCGTTTTAACCACTGCGCCACGAGGCTCTTTTTACCATGCCTCTAACTCTCAACATGGAGAGAATATCAGAAAAATTTAGCATGACTGATGGTACAAAAGGCTGCTGACAGGTCTAAAAGACTAACTTACTCCCATACCCCGTCAGCTATACAACATCTGTCAAGATGACCAAGAGTTTCTGACCCAAACCAGATTGCAGCCAGACTGAAATAAATCCAGATAATCTTGTCTCATTCAAACATTTAAAAAGCAACTACAGTATATGAAAGAGCCAGAAAGCTGAGTTTGAATATGTGAAACCATGGCTGAAGTTCTCATCAAACCATGATATCAGTTAAGTGGCTTAATCTTTTTCGAAGAAAGGGAGAATAATAAAATGCAAGCCTAGCCTATTTAATTTGTTTTCCTTTCCTTTGACAAAAGGAAGAGTACAAATATTACAAACCAATAAAATAAAACATCTCTAAAGGATGTAAAAACATTTTCTAAATTTGAGGATTTTGTTGTGCTACAACCTGATATTACATTTCAAAATCATATACTTTCGAGAATGTATCTGACTGAACACATGAAGTAATTTTTTCGTTCTTCACAATCTGGGCTTTCGGCAATTAACAGTTCAGTCAACAAATGGAGCATGACTCCTATTTACATAACTGATTTCAGTAAGAAATTTAGTTGAGCCAGCAGTTATCAAATCAACTGTTGATCTATAGTGCTGTCAGTAGTTAACAATTGCTATAAGTAATAATACAGTCCTGCAAGTACCTATACAGAGGTAATTCCTAGTAAGCTTTCTCCCAGGCAGTTAGATACATAATTGTGACCAAAGTTTGAATAAAAATTCAATCAAACAATTTAGTCATGAATTATGGAAATCTTTTGGCCCTAACTAGGACTTAGTCACAGTGCTACCTTGATTGGTCTGTAAAATGTAAAATTATGAATATTAAAGAGTATATTACCCATGAATCCATAATGTTTTCAGAATAAATAAGAAAACTAGCCCAGGATTAATGCTATAATGCACATATACAGGAACAAGATGGAGCCCATGTTTCACACATAAAAGTAGAATAACTACAATGACTTGTGTGTTATTGTGGTTTATCAACTCTGTTCAGTAAAACAAGCTCATGCTTCAAATCACTTTGAAATTGTTTTAAAAATAGCTGGAGTGACAGGTGAGCCATGCATCCAGATATGATGAGCAAGGATTCTTTAAAACCAGCATGGAGCTCTGGTAAGCTCTCCTTTCAGCCACACAAGAAAGGGGAGACAAGAACCTGATGTTTCGCGCAGCTGCTACTAGCACAAACATGTTGTCACAACTTCACAAAGGAAGCTCCCCCCCTCACTTTTCTACCCCATCTAACCTGCAACTTTTCCACACTGCTCCCACAAAATATGTCTAGGAATTAAGTCCAACAATCCCCCAGTACAGAACCAATGAACTCAATGAGAGTTAAACTGCAGCTAATAATCCCACTCTTGTCAATAGTTCTACTCAAAGCAGTACCATAATGGGGCCTCATATTATGGTTTAGGTGACACTTTCACACCATAGATACTGATTTATAAGCAGAATGATTTGTAAAGCAAAAGGCAATAATCTTGCCCTATTTTACACACCAATGGCAATCAGGGGGGCTCTCGTCTCTTGATGTTTTCGAAGGAAAGCCGCTTTACAAGCATATCAGACAAAAACAAAACAAAAACCGAAATATACTGTGGCACTTTAAAGACTACTATATTTTGATGGGAGCTTTTGCAGATCAAGTCCACTTCCTCAGATGTTCCTCAGAGGTCTAAGGAAGTGGACGTGATCAACGAAAGCTCACATTAAAATATACTAGTGAGTCTTTTAAAGTGTCACAATGTTTTTCTCTTGTTTTTTAAGGTACTTAATATTTATAAATGTTTAATGTGAACTAATAATTAAAATAAATGAATATTAAAATCATGGTCCACTCCTAAGAATGCAACCAACATGCAATTTATTACCAATCTCCTTACTAATAATTGTGACACTTCAAGTGAAAATAGCGGTCTTAGTCTCTTGCACTAAAAACAACAAGGAATCCAGCAACATTTTACAGAGTAAGAGGTTTTGTTGCCTTTGAAGGCAAGCATGAAACAAGTCAAGAGAAAACAGCTGGGAGGAATCTTTGTAATGTCAAACAAACCTCTTCCACTGTGAAGCAATGGATAAAATGGGTTGCATTGGGTTACAGCACAAAAGATCAGAAAAACAGGTGCTTAGCTCTTTTGATACATTGAGCGGGAGAAAACAGAGACAACAGGAAAAAAAGGCTCTTCTCAAAGCAGCCTCATGCATACATATAAAGGTGCATGCACTGCTCCAACGCTAACAGACCTATGGCAGAATTTAGAGGAAAAGCCCAATTAACAACCAAAGGGTAATTTACAGCACCTTGGCCAAAACTACCAGGTTTCATACTGGTGCCAGAGAAGATGGTGGGAGAGTTTGGACAGAAGTTGGGAGACGATAGTCGACCATTTGGACCCAAGGACAAGGGGGCAATCAGATTATTATTTTGATCACACTCTGGAGTTCCAGCAGCACTGTATGATTTGTTTTATTTTCCAGTTACCATCAATGGACTTCAGATCACAAAGCAGATCCTTCCTACCTTCCTTTGGAAGCAGGCTAGTGTGAACACAGAGGGGTAGTCTGAAGGATTCCTTTTAAGAGCGCAATCCTTTCTGACACGACTCAGTGCGATCTTTATATCACAGTCCGGTTGTACT